AGGGGAAGCACAGGTGGGGGCAGCCCAGGTGAGAGGAAGCACAGGTAGTGGCAGCACAGGTAGGGGAAGCACAGGTGGGGGCAGCCCAGGTGAGAGGAAGCACAGGTAGTGGCAGCACAGGTAGGGGAAGCACAGGTGGGGGCAGCCCAGGTTAGGGGAAGCACAGGTGGGGGCAGCCCAGGTTAGGGGAAGCACAGATGGAGCAACCCAGATGAAGGTAGCACAAGTGAGGGCAGCACATGTGATGGCAGCCTAGGTGAAGGCAGCACAGAGTCAATGGCATAGGTAGGTGGCATAGAGAAGTCTGAGCAGGCAGTGGGTCTGCAGACTCCTTTGCAGAACTGTGGCCCATGAAGCCTAGCAGTTGCTCAAGCCCTTTGAGAAATTTGCTGACTCCTGATTTAAGGAAAATGAGAAACTACAGGGCAAAGTGTAATTGCTGTGACACTGCTTCCCCTGGAGTATGATCCTGACAGGAGCCCTTCAGCCTTTCAGTGGGTCTGTTTCAGTCCCTGGTTGATCTGCTGTCTGCTGATTACATAGAGATCAGGGTTTGAAACTGTTAACACTTAGCAAAGTGAACAATTATTAGAACACTTAATTGTTATTTTTCATAAATTATCTGTTTGTACATGTAGAAACCTCTTTCCTTGTGGAGACTCGATGGTATGCATCATTGATGACCGCGAAGATGTATGGAAGTTCGCGCCCAACTTGATCACAGTGAAGAAGTATGTATACTTCCCGGGTACAGGGGACATGAACGCGCCCCCTGGCTCCCGGGAGTCTCAAGCTAGAAAGAAAGGTGGGTGTCTGCTTTCCTGGTTCTTTAGGGAAAAAAACAGCATTTGCTTGTTTATCTCATTATTTCTTGTTTTAGCTGCTATAAATTCAAGATTTACTTTATTGTATATTTCAGTAGTGACAGAGGTTTAGGGGTTTACTAATGTGGCAATGAAAAGCAGGATATTATGTGATTTCATTTTGAGCTTTTAAAAAAAATAGCACTGACCTAAAGATTTTCCCAGTTGAAAAAAAGTCAGAGATGCTGTTTAACTTTCAATGCATTTGAATACCGTTTTTCATCTCTATTTTCCTCAAATGTGACATTGGAAGTTTGGGCAAAGGGTTCTTCGGAGGAGCAGAACTTGGGCTGTGGTGGTCCCCTTTCAGGAACCATCCTCAGCATGGATTCAGACTGGGTCTGGCCAGCGCCCCAGAGGAGTCTGCTGCTGAACCTGTCAAGGCAAGCATGCAGCCAAAGTCTGTCCTAAGAAAATATAAATGACTTTGGCTGTCAGTATTTCTGATGATCTTTATTTTTAAATAAAGTATTTTGAGTGATGCATTCCCTGCTGTGGTCACTGCAATAAAGCATAAATACTGGGCCAAGAGGAAGAGAAGGGGCCTTCTTGTAGCAGGTAGAGACTGGTGCAGGGTCAATGGCCACAAAGCTGTACATTTTCAAAGGGCTATAAAAACAAAGGGACTATGCACATGGAACCCACAGACCTCAAACATTCACTACAGGCTGAGTAGCCCTAATTCCAGAGGCCAAAGTACTTGAAATCTAAAACATTACAGCACCCACGTGATATCAGAGGATGTGCTTGTTGGAGCGTTTTGGATTTTTGGATTTAGGATGTTGAACTGATGAGTTAATGCATATATTCCACAATTTGGTGCGGGGAGAGATCAATATTTGAAGCATTTTTATCCCAAGCATTTTGGGTAAGGGACACTCAACCCTTACCTAGCTCTTTTTATAGAAGAAGTTTGCCGAGGCCTGGTCTGCAGGGTGGCTGTGCTCATGGTCGGGGGCTGTGCTGCTGTGGCTTGACTGACCCTTAGTGCCCTGACATTGACCCTTCCTCTGTGCACTTTCAGTGAACCATTTTGCTAAAGGGGCCGCAGCAGAGCAGGCACCACCTGCCAGAGACCCTGAGGAAGGAAAACAGACCCCTGGGCCTGAGCAGAGGGACGGCTTGGGGCCACCTGCAAGGCAGCTCAACGGTGTCCAGGCTTCTCCTGAGGGGGACTCGCCCCGGCCTGGGCAGGTGGGTGAGAGGGATGTCCGGCCACTGGCCCAAGCCCTGGAGCCCCAGGAGCCCTGCAGGCAGGGCGGACAGGCCTCCCCAAAGATGCAGTCTGCACAGGGCACCCCGGGCACAGACTTGGATTTCGACTTATCCAGTGACAGCGAGAGCAACAGTGAGTCAGAGGGACCTAAGTCACAGTCCTCTGCCAACTCTGATGGAGAAAGCCAGGAAAAGAACAGCCCAAGGGTGCCGCTGCAGGGAGGCCCCCCTGACCCGGGCGGCGGGAGGCCTGCAGGGGCCAGTCACCCCAGGGAGGCTGGGCCCAGCATCCATCCTCAGGACAGAGGGCCTGAGCCAGGCACGCCGGAGGAGAATGAGCGCGATAGCCCGTGCGGCCTGGGCAATGGCTGTGTGGACAGGAAGGAGGCCGAAACCGAGTCGCAGAATAGTGAACAGTCAGGCATCACCGCAGGCGAGTCCCTGGACCAGAGCGTGGAGGAGGAGGAGGAGGACACAGACGAAGATGACCACCTTATCTATCTGGAGGAGATTCTGGTGCGCGTGCACACTGACTATTATGCCAAGTATGACAGCTACCTTAAGAAGGAGATCGAAGAAGCTCCAGATATTCGGAAAATTGTGCCCGAACTCAAGAGTAAAGTGTTGGCGGACGTGGCCATCATATTTAGTGGGCTGCACCCAACCAACTTCCCCATAGAGAAGACCCGGGAGCATTACCACGCCACGGCCCTCGGAGCGAAGATCCTCACTCAGCTGGTACTGAACCCGGATGATCCTGGCAGAGCCACCCACCTGATTGCTGCCCGGGCCGGTGAGTGCACCAGGCTGGGAGGGGTGGCAGCACACGTGGGGTTCTTGAGAGGTGGGAAGCAGCCTTTTTAAGTTGCTGTAGCTTTTTGTTTCACATTGCATTTTCAGGACCGTTTTCCAGAGCCGTTACCTTTTAAGAACAGAGTGAGAACTATATTTGGTGGTATCCCAGTTTGAGTGCTCTGACATCTGCCTCGGTGTCCTTTGCATGCACACATGTCAGATGTGTGTCCTGGGTTGTTTGTACTCTGGTAGAGTTGGGCCCTTCTCCCAGGAGTACAGGTGGGCCTGCAGTAGAGAGCAGAGATTCAAGAATAGAGGAGCAGAGGAGAAATTACAGGGAGATACAACAGAGTCAGGCAGGAGACGGACCAGCCCTGTGATTGGAAAACAGCATGAGTATACAGGGTGAGCTGCTATGGTTGGAAAGATGGGCTGTCCGTTGTCAGTGATCTCCTTGTGGTAACATCTACCCAGGACAGATTTGGGACTTGGGCTGCATGATCAGAGACCCTAGGGTCGGGCAGCCTTGAAGGAGCTGTCAGGGATCCAGCCAGCCACGGCAGGCTCTGAAGATTTACCTACGGCCATCTTGGGCCACACATTAAATACACACACACACACACACACACACACAAATGAGAACTGATGAGCAAGAAAAGATCCACCCACACATTATTTTCGTGGTATCTTCCACCACAAAGAAGCATAGCCAGCCGTGGGCCACTGCTACATAAAGAAGCAAACACCTAATTGTTGGAAATGCTCCTCATAGGCCATTTGCTTTTTTCCATATGAAGAGGCTGGAGCTTCCGTGATTCTCCTCCTCGTACTCAGTCAGGACTTTGAAATACTCACTGCTACCTCCAGGGTGCAAGGTGCTCAGGGCCTTAGCTGAGGCCTGGCCGGTCTGGAGCTGGGTGGGGTCAGACACACCTTTGCGGCTGTGGGACAGGTCAGGTCCTATTCAACTCGCTGCTGAGACACTGGGGCACAGAAGCAGGCTGTGCAGGGCCCCAAGAAACCCTCTGTCCCAAAAGAACACCAAGCACACACCCCTGGCATCAGTGAGACCCCCCCCTGAGCACCAAGGCCCCGGATACCTTGTTGTACCTTTTGAACATGGAAACTTATTTCCATGGGGCCTGTGCTCACCTTTCCTGTTTGCTTTCCCAACTCAGAGGAGAAGCAGTTCTCCTAGAGGCACAGCACAGCAGGAAGGCTAAGTCAGGTCCCATCACCAGTCAGGTTTGATGCCCTCACCTGCTGGACCCTGACTTCTTCTGGGACTCTGGCCTTTAGTGGAAGGCCTTGACCCCACTGCAAGCTGAGTCGGGGTGGTGCGGTTTTAGGGATGGATCTGGATTTGGGGCCATGAAGGTCCAGTGGGGAAGCTGAGAGTCCTTTAAGGGAGGATGGTGTTTGGAAGCACTCCTGGTGATGCTGGAGATGCAACCACCAGGCAGAGCAGCCCCTGGGTCTGTGCTATAGGGTGGCATTGGGCAGGATTGAGGCCTCTGAACTTGGGCATTGGCTGGGTCACCAGGAAGCCTGCACTGTCCTTGTGCATTGTCATAGCTCCAAAGTCAATTGAACACACAGGGTCAGTGGGCCGTGCTGCCCTTAGAGCTGGGCAGTGGGGAGCCAGCTCTAGGAAAGCCCCCAGGCTTGGAGTGGGCTGTAGGAGGGACTGGAGCTGACAGGAGGCAGAGTATGGCCACAGGTTGAGTGGCTACCTGTAATCAGCCTATAGTAGGACTTGGGTTCCAGGGTGTGAGAGTGGGGTCAGGAAGCTCCTGGGGTCCCATAGGAGAGGGTGGCCCTGTGGAGTGGTGGCTGCAGAATGGAGTCAGAGACGATCTTGGGTGAGGTCCAGGCTTCAAGGCCCTGTTGGGAGACCTGTCAAGTTGGGGCAACTGTACTTGTACAGAGGCTGACCTAGCCCTGGCACTTAACTCGGCTGCTCTGCACTTCCTGCCTGACCATTGTAGTTCCCCACAGGCACAGAGAAGGTCCTGCAGGCGCAGGGGTGCGAGCACCTGCATGTGGTCAGCCCTGACTGGCTTTGGAGCTGCCTGGAGCGCTGGGACAAAGTGGAGGAGCAGCTCTTCCCACTCAAGGAGGACGACGCCCGCGCACAGAGGTATGGGTTCCCACCACACTCCAGGGGCCCTCGTCCCAGGGTGACTGTGGAAGACTGAGTCTTTGTGGCAGTGGAGAAGGAGCCCCACACTGTTGGGTGTTTCTGGGCACCTGAGTCCCCATCCCAGATCTGCCTGCAGACTCAGGTGAACTTAAGTTGCTCATGGAACCAGTAACACCTGAGGAAAGACTGGCCTGGCCTTTCCTTGAATGTGATATGGTGTTTAATGGTGCTCATACTGGGGGTGCTCACATTTCCTCAAGGCTGGGGAATAGGCACAGAAATGTGGAAAGATGGGCAGGATCTCAGGATGGACCCAGGAAAGGGATTGACCACAGAAAAGCAGCAGCCAGTCCAGAGTCTTGAGGCAAGTTTGAAAAATTATCTGCAACACCACATGTGGTTGATGGGGGAAAGGGAGAGGGCCAGCAAGTGGCCCTGGGGGACATGGCAGGGAGCATGGTGAGGCAGGCTCTGCACTATGTCAGAAATCTGAGTGGCATTATAGGGTAGAGTTCTGACAAGTCTCAGGGAATCTTCTTACAGGACTGAGCCCCACATGGGTGCGTGCCCTTCAGCTCTTTAGGAAGGGGGCTCCAGCCCTGCAACAGGGCCACAGGCTTTCTGGGTGTTGGCAATGGGAAAACCATGATTTCTCTGCACTGTGCAGGTCTGGCACATCTTTCACCTGCACCAGCTCAGTCAGGGCCTAAGGGCAGAACCGGCTGAGTGCCCAGCCCTGTACACACCATGTACCAACACTGCTCACAGCCTTTGTTCTCTTTGCCCAACAGGGACAGCGGCCCTGCGGCCTTTTCTGACAGGGAGGGCGTGCCCCAGACCACCCTGTTTCACCCAATGCCTGTGCACCCCAAGGCCCCACCAGGCCCAGAAGTCCGGGTCTACGACTCCAGCACCGGGAAGCTGGTCAGGACAGGTGCCCAGGGCCCGCGGCCCACGCCCCCTGGTGCCCTGCCTGTCCACCAGGAACCCTCTTCTTTCAGGTACATTGCAGCCGTCAGAGTGGCTTTGCCAGCAGGAGCTGGCCTCTGGGGTTCTCTGAGTCTGTTGCTTAATCCCTTTAAGGGTGGGGTCACGTAACCTCAGGGAGGATAGGTGATGGGAAAGGCTGTTACTCCATTTTGCTCATCTCCCTGGCTGGAGACTGGCTCCCAGCTCATGGGAACATCTTCCCTCCTACATTCTTGGGCCTTTTTGTTTATTTTCTGTCTTGAGACCCAGAACTGAAACAGAAACCCCCAATTTAGCCTCTGAATGTCCTGCACAGGCTGCTTGGTGCTGCCTGCCATGTGCTGGCTTTGTTTATAGACAGGACAAGCACTGTGGTTGGTTATATCCTCAGTGGTACACAGAGGACAGGCCCACGAAGGGCTGGTTCTACCCCTGCCTGCCCCGCTCTCTGGGTCTGCTCCTTGCAGACCCTACAGTGATCAGGCATGTTTGTTCCTGGTTGCCCTGCCATGTGTCCATGCACCTGGAGGAGACCAGGGATTGCTGGCTGTATAGGGACTTCTGAGTGAGCCGCTCTGTTTCTCCTCTGTGCTTTCGAAGGCAGCCGAAAATCAAGGACCCTGTAGACCACCTTGTAAATGGCCCATAGGACTTTACTGAAGTTTCGAATGAGGAATCTTGCGCTGTTTTTTCTATTATGGCCATTGCTTTGAAGTTCCTGTGACAAGCATGTGACACCATGTCCATCTCCCCTTTACTTTCTGAGAGCCCCTGAGCAGTTGACTTCCACACGGTGAGCAGTACAGAAGCCAGAGTAGCCTTCAGTGCACCCTTACCACCAAGTAGGCCCTACCAGGCCTCAGCTGCTCAGCAAGGTTCTCCTAGACTGGGTTTGAGAAGGGCAGTGATACAGACCCAAGTCTGCGCCCTCTGCTGTCTTCAGAATGGGCTCAGATGAGCCCAGGATATTTGCTGGAGGTCGGCAGGGTGGCCCCTCCTGGATGTGGACTGTCCCTTGGCCAGCCTTGCAATGGAGCTGACCCTGGAGGCAGAGGGGACAGCAGGTGTCACCTTCCAGGTCAGAGGGGTCTCCAGATGGGAGCTGATAAATGCCTCATTTCCGGTGACTTTACATGGGCTTTGGGTTAGTTGGCATTTTGTCATCTGTAACTAGAAGCATCATCTTTAGTTAAGCATGTTTTCTTCCAGTCAGGCGGTATTTGTTCGTGTGCACAGCTGGATGTGCCTGTGTGTTGCTGCTCAACCCTTCCACGTGCACCATAACTGATGGACAGGCCCATCACTTTGCCCACAGTCTGTTGCAGTCTGCCTTACCACCCAGTGTCACAGACAGGATATTGCCATGCACACGGTGCTTATGGTCCGGTGTCCCTGGGACATGTGTCTGAACATCTGTCACTTGGCCACATAGACAGCTGCTTCATTTTGGCTTTGACCTCGGCTGTCAGGTCATCCTCTGGCCATCCCTCTAGCTAATGCTCCTTTGTGGCCTTAATTCACTCTTCATTGGGTCCTCATATTTTTTGTGTTCTCCCTCTGGAAAGTGTTTAAACGTAAGATTAACCACTAAAACGGGCTTGTTCCAAGATTCTAGGGAACTTTACCCTTTTGGAATGATGTGAGACTTAAGTATTTCTCCTTGTAGTGAACATCTTTGGCTCAAATATAAAACTTTTCTTGGAATGTTTCTCACAGTGGATTTATTCAGAACACCCCTCAGACATTTTAAAATTCTGTGGTGATCTCAGATTATTTTTAGTCAGTTCTGCCTGTTGTAAAGCACGTCAAGCACCCACTGGGCGAAAGGCTGGTACCTGGCAGGTTGAGCTGAGGTGAGCCACATCATGGCCACACATGTGACGCTTCTGAACTGCAAGTCACCCTAGTTGAGCTCCTTTGGGGTGTTTGAAGCTTTGGTTTATAACACTGTGTATAAGTTCCTGGTAGACTGTGCACTCATTCCCGGGAAGAATGTGAATGTCTTTTATTGTTAGAAAGTTCTTTATGGAGGTATCCTTTCAGTGTCAGGGCAGGGATGCAGGGGCGAGCTGAAGCGGTTGGATGTGGTCACCTCAGGCATGGCCACCCCCTATTCTGTACATTCTGAGGTGCATCCTGCAGACAAGGTTTTCAAGGGGGTGTGACACTAGACTGGGCACTGGTCCTGGCCTCTTGAAGCCCAGTCACCACTCGAAGAGGGCAGATGTCTCAGTGGCCCACCACTGCATTCACATGACCCCCGCAGACCAAGCAGCACAGGAGCCAAGTCCGTTGTGGTATCACAGGGCCACTGGCACATATTCAGACCTGGGAGGACAGGATTAGGGTAGAGTGTTTTAAAGAAACTTCATATAGCATTCTACAGCTAAGACTGCTAAGGCACTGAGCTAGGGAGAGTGCACAGAGCCCCCGCAGGCACCTGGTGGACCATCAGATCAGGGAGAACACTCAGCTCCTTGGAGCTAGGGGTGTGTGGATTCCTGCAGTCAACCGTTTTCTCACATTAAACTGGCAAAAAGTTAAAAAGTGATCATTGTAGTGTTGACATTTAATCCAAGGAAACTCATTTTGCTTGGGGGAGTGTGAGGGACACACTGCTTAGGGGATGCTGTGGTGACACTTACTGCAGACACGAGCCCTTGGCGCTCGTCACCCTCTGGGCATCTGGGAACAAGGGTGTCCTCTGAGGGTTCATGACTATGTGAGGTTCTGGGCTCTGACCTGGTGCTGGAGCTTTTTTGCATTTACTTTTCTGCTGAAAATAACCACAGAAGCTGAGGACATAATACACAGAATTCACGGAAAGCAAGAGGGAACCCTGCCTGGCAAGGATAAAGGGTGCCCGGGGCTATGTGGCCTCTGCTCTCAGACCACCGTGAGGCCAAAGCAGAACCAGCAGGGAGGCCACGCAGGCCCTGGTGGCTCCAGAACCCTGCTCACTGGTGAGACTCACACCTCGCACGGACGGTGGGGGTGGGAGGGTGGCTTTGAAGAGGATTATGAGTAACATGCTCAGTGAAGTAGAAGAGTAAAATAGAGAAAATTGGAAACGTCAACAAAGAATTGTAACCTGTAAACAAGTAGACGTCCTATAGCTGAAGTGTACGGAAACCTAAGATTTAACTGGGAGATGGGTTAGTAGCAAGTATTCAAACATGAAAGACACAGGTGATTGAAAAGGATGGGAGAAGGGCCATGGACTGGGTGCTGCACAGGTGGACTCTGAGGAGATGTGACCGGGACTAGAAGTCTAAGGAAGACCCTTCAGGCTGAAGAGCAAACTGCGGGGAGAGGGAGACAGACCCCAGCGAGGCAGCCCGGGCTGGGCACAGGTTATCTATCCAGCGATGATAGGGCCTTAGCTGGCCATGGGGAAGCAGACCTAACCCTAACCAGTTGTGTTCTTCCAGCTGGGAACCTCTGGGCAGCTCCTGGCCAGGGTCATGTGGGTACCAGGTTTCTCTGTACTCTGTAAACTTGACAATGAGCACATTACTGCTTTTAAATAATGTGAATCTCCTCCAAGCAGCAGAAGTGAGTGTGTACTAGGTGAGTTTCACTGTATATGTGAGGCAGGGTCATGCTGTATTTCCCTGCCTGGTGGTGAGCACCCTCCCCTCCTCAGCTGGGACATTGCCTCTTAAATCTTAATGTTTCTATATGTCAGGAACTCAAGTTTGATTGTTTTTATTCCCACAGTGTGGCCGGGCTAATATTCTTAATGTATAATGAGATCATATAAGTCAATAAGAAGTTGCTTGCCCAGTGGTCAGGGGTGTACTCACGTGGAGGGCATCAGAGGCATAGCAGAGGGCCTGGGAGAGGACATGGGCTGAGTCTGGAAGGACTGAGACGACAAGGGGAGGGCCATGTCTAAGACCCCTGCCTGTGCACCTGCGACAGCCTCAGGGTCACTAGGTCTCTGAGGCACTCCCTACCAACAGGGAATGGCCTGTCAGGCACAAGGTGCAGCTGGGACAGGGCAGGAAGCTTTGTGCAGAGGTGTGAGGTGAGGACTTTGCACTCTGGGGAGAGAAAGACCAAGAGCGTGCCAGGGCAGGAGAAAGGCCAGTGCCAAACAGTAAAGGTTGGGGAAGAGAGTTATGTTGCCAACAGGGGAGATTTGGCTTGATCCCTGGTGTCCTGTGAGGAGGGTCAGGCTCAGTAGACGTCTGATGCACCTGAGGGGGATAAGGATGCTGCTGCCACCTGACTCATGCCCTGTTAACTATCCCTTCCCAGAGAGGAAAGTTCAGACACATTCCACTCACCTAGAATATAGGATGCCAGGACAGATGCAGGGTGTTACAGGTAGTGAAGGATGCTCTTTTCTCTCTTGAGTCCTGCATGGGTTTGGCTTTGTTCATGTACTAGGTCCAGACTGTGCCCCAAATGCACAGGCTCATGGGTCAAAGAGTAGGTCACGTTTGTCAGCGTGATCTGTGTGAAACAGCTACCAGATGTCTTTCTAGAAGGCCAGGACCTGGTCCTTCAGTGCTAGCATGTGACTTCATGCGACAGTGCTAGCATGTGACTTCATGCGACAGTGCCAGCCTTCTGGCCAAGTAGACATACCTCAATACCCTTCCAGCCTAGGGAATACAAAGAACCAAGCTGATGTTGACGGTGACTAGGAGTTTCCCTTTTCAGCGCTGCATTTCACGGACGTGTTACTGGTTATGTGGGTCAAATTATTGTTGCAAGTTGTGTTCAATGGTGCATTAAAGCACGAAATGGTAAAGACATGTCCGACAACTCTGTGCATTAAAGTGATACTATACTGAGATTTAGTTTGTGAATTGCAGTTTTACAATAATGCTTGCATAATTTAAGTGGCCTCAATCAATACTGTGCTAATAGTTAGCAGAAGCAATACCTGTTTTTTAGGATCTGTTGTTCATACTGTTGAAAATAAAATCAGAAACCTTTGACTTATTTTTTTCTTAAAATGTAGAAAACAAAAGCATATTGTCTTAAACTAATGGAACAGTTAAAAATTAGATACAGAATTGGTTTTTGAATTATTCAGACTTGCTTGGAGTGAGTGTCTTGTAGACTAGGAATTTCAAAATAGATGAAAAGAAGTAATTAAGTGTTATTTGAAAACAGACGGTGCAGATGGGGAGTGAGGTTGAATGAAATTGAATACTTACTTGAGTAACACTAATAATATGGCAATAGATAACCATGTATTTGTTCTGAAATGTGTATTATTTATGTGAACAGCAAGTTTCAAGTGACAGTCTGTAAAGAAGCAAATGTTGCAGCTATTCCTGTATTTTCTGAGGTAAATACATATCCTGGACTGCAATTCAATCTAATGAGTTAACTTTTGCTGAAATTTTCTTCTCTTTAACCTCTTCAGTGATTTTTTTAATTTATGTAACCAGTGGTTCTCAACCTTCCTAATGCCACAGCCCTTTTAATACAGTTCCTGTGGGTTGCGACCCACAGGTTGAGAACCAGTGACATAACCTAAAATAGATAATAAAATTACCAAGTGAGTTCATATTTATGTTTTCTCTTTTAAAAACTATAAGATTATTACTAGTAATTTACCAACCACTTTCCTGCCAAAATAAATAACAGCTGAGGATAAACAACTGCATCCTCACACAAGGGAAGAACACAGCACAGTCAGTAGGAGGGAGGAGGAGGGATGGTGAGCTCCCACCTGACAAGCACAGTGTAGGGTACACAGCACACCTCCTGGGTGAAGAGCTCAGCTGCAACTTGGGCTATATCTGACAAGTGCAAACAATGTAACCGTATCATCTGTACCATTATATCAATCTGAAATAAAAATAAGATTAAGGTTGAATTATTTTTTGAAAAAGAGCTGAGGAGTGGGCAGGTGGCAGAAAAACTGGGTTGGAAAAGGTTAATCTGAAAGTGTAGTTTGCACCAAAATATAGCAGAACTTCTGAGTTGACCCCCAAGGGACTGTAACAAACTGGTCACCATAAAGAGCGAGGTGGCTGTACTGGCACATACACATGCTGCACGTCCACTCTGTGGAAGTTAGGCTACCTTGCGGAGGTGGTCAGTGTAGGGGTGGTCAGCTTTGGAGGTTCTGTATCACCTGTCTTTACCTGTTACCGACCCATGTAGGTACACAGCCAGGTGTCAACATGATATGTGAAGCATGTGAGTTCTGTTGTGGAGAGTAGCGCTGCCATATCTAATCAGCATGTTGTTGGGTCTAGTTTGTCACAGAGGCTTTGAGACAACCTTTGTCATGTTGAATAAATCACATTTTGTTTGTCTCCTGACCTGTATTTATGGGAAACTATACACCTGTATTTTCCTGAGATTACTAAGTGTTGGTACTTGTTCTAGTTCTGCTTTGAAAATTGATGACTTGGCTCGGCGCCTATAGCTCAACCGGCTAAGACGCCAGCCACCTACACCTAAGGTGGCGGGTTCGAATCCCCAGCCCGGACCCGCCAAACAACAATGACGGCTGCAACCAAAAAAAAAAAAAAAAAAAAATAGCCAGGCGTTGTGGCGGGCGCCTGTGGTCCCAGCTACTTGGGAGGCAGAGGCAGGAGACTCGCTTGAGCCCAGGAGTTGGAGGTTGCTGTGAGCTGTAATGCCACGGCACTCTACCTAGGGGGACAGCTTGAGGCTCTGTCTCAAAAAAAAGAAAAGAAAATTGATGACTTGACCCAATTTATATAAGAAAAAAGGAATCCCTGTTTTTAATCTTATTCCCTCCCCTCTAAACATAGCACAACATGTGAATTGGACATCTAGGGCCAAGTCCTATCCTCTGCGGGCTTTCTGTGCTGCAACGGGAGATGGACCTCTGGATTTGGTCACGTGTCTGGTCCATTCCTGCCATGCCCTTTGCTGCCTCTTTGTCAGGTTAGGAAAACCAGTAATTTTCTCTTGGCAGCAGAGTGTGAAATGTTTTCTTTTAATTTAAACCAGAGCCTTCAGGCGGAGCCTGTGGCTCAAAGAAGTAAGGCGCCGGTCCCATATGCCACAGGTGACGGGTTCAAACCCAGCCCCGGCCAAAAAATAAAAAATAAAAAACCAGAGTCTTCTCCATTTATTTGAGTCATGTTGTGCCTGCCCATCTCATGTGCTAACCACATCCATGGCTTCCATACACATCTGCACATGTGGGCACTGACACAGGTCATCCTGAGGGGTCTCCAGTAGCCACTCCCCACATCTGCAGGGCAGCTCCCTCCTGGCCCTACAGAGCAGTCAAGGTCCCTGCACCTGTATAGCCCCCTCCCTGTCTGTCCAGGGTCCTGCCTCTTGTTGAGATGCTACAGGGTGACCCCCCCACCCCTGGGAACGGTGGTGCAACCCATTCTGTGCACAGAACCCTTTGCTGACCCCATTGTGACAGGGCACCTGGCAGCCGGCGGCAGTTAGGTCTCCATCTCCGTCTGCTGCTTCTCACCTGAGGCATTGGAGGTCTGAGTTTCTGCTCACTCTTGCTTTGGTACTTGTGGTTCTGGGACAGGGTGCTGCTCATGTGGAGGGGCCCAGTGGATGTGGCGGGGGGTCTCCTGGATGCCTGTGTGCAGGCCAGAGAACACTAGTGGTTGGTGGCAGCTGGTTCACTGCCCTGGCTCAGCATCCCCTCAGCCAGTCACAGAGAGGCCACTCCTCCACTCTGGGACTCCTTGAGGCGCCACTGCCAGCAGGAGCCGTGGCCTGAGAGTGTGGGGTCCACGCACCCACTGGGTTGGCCTCCCTTCACTGTCCTTTGCTCATCCAGTCGGAGACCTCAGTTTTGCTAGGACCTGATTTTTGCTTGAAACCTTAGCACTTACACAGGATTCCATGACAGTCTTTCCTGACTTTTTCAACAACCCTGCGGTGGCAGAGGTGGAGTCACTGCCTCCTTCCTACTCAGCAGAGGTAGACATTCAAAGGTCCTCACTCAGTTGCCCAGATGCCTAGGATTGGGGTAAGATCATCCCTGGTGCTTCTGGACAGCTCCCTGCATGGTCACCACTACCCCTCAGTGCTGCTGCAGGGCACAGCAGAAGTCCTGACTCAGTGCAGGGCAGGGGCCTTGTTACTGCTGCTGGGGTAGGTGCCAAGCTCCCTGCAGCCCCCACCTTCCTGGGACTGCATGAGTTGTCTTGAGTAGAGTTGCTGGTGTCTGAGAGATTCGTGAATATTTATTTATTAATTCATCTTGAAATAGCATTGCAGGTTTAACAACACAGTTTTTAACTGCCCAAGTCCACTTATCCAGAGTTTTTCAACCACCCAATCAAAAATGTGGTTTGGCAGGAAGTGGGATCTGCTTGTGTGCAGGGCCCTTATGTGGACTTTGGCACCTGAGGGGCTACTGGACCCTGTCACCTGCAGGTCCCAAGGGCTAACTGTATCAGACTATTACATGTGGCCATAAATAACCTTTTTTAAAATAAAAATAACTATTTTCCAAGTTGGAAAGAAACCTAGGGAAGAGTGGCTGTGTTTCCCATGTTTGGAATTCTCTGAGAGTGAGTAGTCAGTTCGCTGTGCTGTGGTGTTGGGTGGAAACACACCCAGGGCCTGGGTTCCCTAGAAGTCGCCAGAGGAAGGAGCACCTGTCGCGGGGGGGTGGGGGGTGTTCCTCAGAGAACCTTGATTTGGTGACTGATCCATAACATCTCACAAATCATAGAGAAACAGATTTTTTGTGTGTGCACATACCCACTTGGTGGCCAGTGCCCCAAAACAGTCTGTTGACACAGGGGGGCATCTTCGAGAGCCCATGCTGGGCCTGGTGGTAACCTCACCCACTCACCATTCCTGTTAGCTTTCATAGAGAAGAACATTCTTGGTACTACCTTTCACTTTTGGTTAAAATTAAGAAACAACTTTTCTGAAGAGAGGCTGTGATATATTTGGTTTTGATGAGAAGTATTTCCCATTCTTGAAATTTCTTCATATTCGTGATCAGAGCCTTGTGTGAGGAGTAGGCTAAGGCCAGGAAGGGCCATGAAGTCTCAACTTACAAATAAACTCCCAGTGTTTAGATTGTTGTATAGGAAATCTTACCTCTGTTAGATAAAACTTGGTTCAGTAGAGTTACCTCTTGTTAATTTTGCAACTTTGGCTTAATACCCCATTTTTCTTCACAATAATAAAGTTTTTGTTCCCTTTCTTCAGTGTCTGTCATGAGGGGGCCTGTGGTCCAGCATTAGCCACACAGTGCTAAAGGCTTCCAGCCTCAGGCTGTGGTCCCCAGGGTAGGAGCCGGCCCCAGGCACATCTGTCTCTTAGAGGAAGACACACCAGATTTCAGAATTGCCTCAAATCCCGACAGTCATAAGCAGGCAGAAACACACATTCAGTAAGAGGCAGCATACCTAGATCCTAGACAGATGGATGTAGAGGAGCTGTGACAATGATGTAGTAGAAAAGTTACATGACATGTGCCCTTGAAACAGAAGCTTGATCTTTGTAGTTGATTTATCACACTGATACTTAACAATTCAATAAAACTATACAGAGTCCTAAATCTCCTTTTTCTGTTCTTTGTGAACAAGTTATTTCAGCGTCAGTCCATTGAATCTGTTTTCTAAGTTTACCATTATATTTTTTGTGTGTGCTTTTGTAAAAGGATAGGGTATGAAGGTTGCTTTTGTTTGTTTTATGGCTCTAGACTTATCTTGAGGGTAAATAACACTTCCTGGTGGTTCCTAAGCATTGTCCCCTCGCATTTTGCCCTGTGTTGTGGGAGGAGTAGAGCAGGACAGATGCTCCAGGAGTTGACTGCAGAGCTAAGGTAGGTGCCATCCTGCAGAGGCTACGTGCTGAGCATTCAGAGAAAGCGAGGCAGTAGCCGCAGTGACAGGATGGCTGTTTCCACATAACTACATACTCCCCATGGGCGTAGGATAGCTTATCTGCCTAGTCCTAGTCAGGATCTGATTCGGTCTAAAAACTGCAATGCCGACTCCCTTCCTCATGTGGGACCTGTAAAATTCATTTCAGAGCTGTCCCGCCTCAGCAGCAGATGTTTGGTGAAGAGCTTCCCGATGCTCGGGACGGAGAGCAGCCTGGCCCTTCTAGAAGGAAGCGACAGCCCAGTATGTCAGAGACAATGCCGCTGTACACTCTTTGTAAGGAGGATTTAGAGAGTATGGACAAAGAGGTGAGCCACTCCCCGCCCTGCCAACCCAGACGCCCCTGCAGACAGCTGCCTTGGTGCGGATTCCTGAAGTGCATCCCTGGGTGGAGCCGCACTCATAGCTGTGTTGTCTCTTTGGGTTGGCACACGTGCTTCCCCAGAACTTATTAAATGAGATTTCTAGTGCGTGAAGGGATGGTTGCATCAGCCGTGTTTGCCAGTAAGAGCGCTTTAAAAGTCAGGTTTTAGGGTTACGTCTGTGGTTCTCACCACATCCCCTCTCTCTCCCCTCTTCCAGCCCACGGGCATGAGAGTGTCTTGAGATGACTATGGCTGCCATCCCAAGGGTGCTCCTGGCACCAGTGGGCCGAGTTGACACAGCATAGGTCCCTGTGGGAACAGGATGCCTTCCAGGCCTCAGTGCGCTGAGGACACTGGGTGCTGCACTTCCAGATTGCGAAACACATCAGACTGTGGCCTACAGTCTTGTGTAGTGTCTTATTATTACACTGCTGTGTAGTTTTAGGAAACATCAGTGGAGTTTATGTTTTTTCAAATGCTTGATTAATAGGAGTGCTGCTAGGACTCCAAAGCCATTTTGAATTGAACACAATGGAGGCTCCTTACACCCTAAGTTGAAAAGTCAGTTTATAAATCAGGATTGCTATTGTTTCTGGTTTCACCTTTTAAAATGACAGAACCCACCCCCCTGGTATGTTATGGCGGTAAGCCCAGCCTGACCCCCAAGCCCTTGGGGCCCCTGAGCTTATACATAGGCCAGGCTGCCCTGGGATTGTGTGGTGTGACTCAGTCATCACCCTGCAGCACAGTATTTAGACTTCCCCCGCCCCCTAGAAAATTGAGAGAGTACGAGTGTTTTTTTTTTATTATGTGGCTAAATTGTGTCATGCTGAAGTCAGGGCTTGCAGTGTGCTGGCCACTAGCATAGTGGCACTGTGCTCAGCAGGCAAGTTTTGTGCCTCCTCACCTCCCCCCTTCTTAGTTTCCAGTGTCCATTACTGCTCTTCATGACATGAGCACCCTCCAGCTCTTCAGAGGGACTGTCATAGAACAGGCCCTCATAGGCTCTCTAGCATACCTGCTGGAGCCACCCCGTTGTCAGTCAGAAGGAGGCTACCCCTGTCCACTTGGTCTTCACCTTCCGTACTAGCCACCAGCCATATATCCCTCAGGCGCTACTGCTGCTGTCCTGGGAAGAGAGAAACTATTCTGTTTCATTAATAGTGCAGTGGAGGGTGGCGCCTGTGGCTCAGTGGGTAGGGCACCAGCTCCATATACCAAGGGTGGTGGGTTCAAACCCGGCCCGGGCAGCTAAAACAGCAAGGAGAATTGCAATAAAAAATAGCTATAGTCCCAGCTATTCGGGAGGCTGAGGTAAGAGAATCACTTAAGCCCAAGAGTTGGAGGTTGCTGTGAGCTGTGACACCACACCACTCTGCCGAGTATAACAAAGTGAAACTCTGGCTCAAAAATAAAAGAGTACAGTGGAGAGCATTTAAGGAAGAAAACAGCTTTTGTTTATTTTCAGCGATAGCAGAAAAATGCACGTGGTTGTATTCAGGACAGACTCTTCCACTAACTATCCTCCTGAGGCAATAGTTCATCTTAAGAGAATTAAACCCTTTTTCAGATGTGCTGAATTTCTGTATTCTATCTTTGTCTTTTCAAACATTAGCTGTTTTTTGTTTCATGAAAATCTTTTCTCTGAAAAATTTCCAATCACTTCTTCTTTACCCCTAAGCCCAGACTCTTGTTAACTTGAATGACAGAAGGTTCTCTTTAAAAACAACGTCTGCCATGCTTAGGGTAGGAGGAAGAGGGGTTAGTTAGCACCTGCTGCTCCCACCTGGCCACTTCTGACAGGCCTGTTTCCTGGTCGAGCGCTGGTAGTTCGGGCCCTGCCATGCAGACACGCATCACTCTGTCAGGTAGTGACCGCAGCTTCCATTTTTCCTCTCTGTCAAAGGGGAATGAAATCTTAACACAAATTAAATGTCCACAGTGCTTATATCTCTCCAAAACCATATCCTTTCTTACAGAAGTAAAAATTTTCCCTAAAACCTCAGATTTGGCTCTTCAGGAACAAATGGTATTAGAAGAGAAACAGCCTTCCAGTTTGGATTCCACAGATTCCTGGGGTACTGGTTTATAAGGGACCGTGAGACTGGGGGGGGGGGGTTTCTGTGTTTCGTGAATAGTGAATATTTAGAGTCTGTTTCCCACGGAATCCTGGTCCAGGAGAGAAAACAGTGGCACCTGATGGCATGAGCAGAGCTTCCCAAACCTGCCAGACATAATGTGGGAGCCTCCTTGGGGCCTCTGCCATGGGTCCAGGACCACTGTGTGTTTAGGACCAGGTATATCCACCCTCATTCTCCTTTCTGATGTTATGGCAGAATTCTGTGGGGCTCCATCATCTCTCTGCACAGCCTGGCACAGTGGAGGCTTTGGTGCAAGGCCGCATGCACTGAGACAGAGCTGCCGGGTAGGGGTAGACTCTGAGTGTGCCTCTTGACTTGAGGAGACCACAGAGACAGGTGATGCAACAGTGTTACGAGACCTAAGAGTTCTTTAGCATTCACCTTTCAGAGCATGTAGGACATATGAGTCCAGAACCAGTGAGCACCTTACTTGTTCACATCCACATCGAGTGCCCCGGGCGGCCACATCTCTCTTTAAGGACACCAAGTGTTGAATTAGGGTCTACCTGGGCCGCTTTGACTCATCTGAACTGATGACATCTGCAAAGACCATGTTTCTAAATAAAGCTACATCTGCAGGGACCAGGGGCCTGGACTTCTGCCATCCAGGGGATGGGGCCACCGTTTAACCCACTACTCAGACTTCATGCAGACAGAACTTTAGAGGTTTCTCTTTTTTCCCAGAAAGTACATAGATGTATCATAGCTGTCATTTGTTATCTGAGATATTTGGAATTAAAAAGGTTGTACTTCAAAGAGCGAAATGTCAGTCTGTTTTGCATCAGATGCAATTTTAACGTAAATATATTCTAGTCGTACTAACATTTCTCTTTTGAAGCTTCAGAATAGTTTATTAACTCCAGGCTCTGTAGCCTCCTTTGAAATGTCTCTACTTTGTTAAATGTATTTGCCACCAATCCACCTGGAACAGTCAGTCAGTTTCCCCAATAGCCTAGCAGAAAGTCAGTCACCTCAGTGTTAGTGCCAGGTATGCGAAGCATCTCACTCTGTGGGGCACCCAGGCCACGTTGGTGGCCACAGGCAGAGTCCCACAGACCCTTCTCCCACCCTGCCCTGCTCCCAGGCATGTGGGGCCCAGCAGCCCCAGGGATCCCCTTTCCCTCTGCAGCCACCACCTCCACTTAGCAGCAGCCAGGAGGACAACAGACTATCCCTGCCTGGGTAGGTTCGCTGCCTTCCACCCCGCCCCAGCCACTACCCCAAGCCCAAGATGCCATCTAGGTAAATGAGGAAGGCCCCAAGGCACAGTCCTAATGATGCTGTCCTCTGCTCAAGAGCCACAAGTGCTCCTCACTGCCTAGAAAACTAACCAGGGCAGTGGAGGTCTCAGTAAAGGTCCTGAGGACATCACCACCAAAGCCCCAAAGCCTGTCAACATCACCATGCACGAGGGGCAAGTTGAGGACTTTGACATGCAGAGGCCAGCCTGGTGGTCCAGGCAGCCCCCAGGGACTGCTCCCCAACAGCCTCTCCTAGTTTTAGGCCATTCGGGCCACTCATGGTCATTGGCCCTGCAGCCTTGGGAACCTTGAGTCAGCAGGCTGGGCAGTGCCCCCATGTGGGATGGTCTGTCCTGTGCCCTTCGTAGGCCTGTGAGACCAACTGACTATTTGCCAAAAAAGGGGCTGAATAAATCCGAAAAGACAGTGAAAATTAACATTGTATTTTTTTAATCTTAACTTTTTAAATTCCACCTTGTATATTCATATAAATCACCAAATTTGATGAACTGGTAAGATGCCACAAAAACAGAGGCCACAATGGGAGTCTGATGCCCTGCAGACCGGGCTCTGCACAGGACGAGGGGCTCAGGTCCCTGGCGGGGTAGCCTTGTCTCCACCAGCACTTTGCGTTGACCAGCTGGACTGTCTAGCCAGCACAGCTACGAAGACTATCTTCTGAGGCAAAGTAACTTCTCAGCTGTCTTATAAAGATGTGAACTTGATGTTTGAGCATTTGTCAAAGCTGGTGGGCTCCGCATTTGAGGCCATCCCTCTTGTCTTGGTAGTCACTCCCAAAGACAAGCCAATGTCTATCCAGCCATGGTCAAGAACCTCATTCAGTGCCATCTAACCCTCAGGAGCCACCCTCACTTCTTGGGGTACTATGGGAGGAAAGAAAGGATGGTGTAGCCAGACTGCAGCTCCCAGCATCCCTGGATGGGAGCAACACAGCCCAACGGAAGACTTGTAACCCAGATGTGGCCAAGCATCCTCCTGTGGCTTTTCATATCATGCCTGTGCTGGCGCCATTAACCATGGTTAGGCCATTTGAGCAGTTGTGGTCTCCCATGAAGATGCCAGAGTAGCTGTGGACCTGCCTGTGCTGGGACCCAACTGGGGCCACTGGGCTCCCACACTTCCCCTGGTTCCAGTGGCCTAGTGTTGGGTCTTCAGGCTGGGGGTTGGGGGTGCTAGGCAGCCCCAACAGGCATGATGCTGGATCCCAGGAGGAGGCTGCTTGCATATGGAGCTGTGCTGACTCCTTGAATCCAAGGGGCCTGAACGTGGCTAGAGCACTGTGGCCTGTCTGACACTGGTTTGGGAGCCTGGCTAGGCCTGGGCTCCTCTGGGCTATGGGCTCAGACCACCCCATAGGAGGGCTGTCTCAAGCATCCCACCTCCCAACATCACCTGGGAACCCAGAAGAACTTTGTGATACTGTCACCTCTGCGCATTTTCCTCTCTGGGTTTCACAGCTAGTCTCAGCGGGGGCTCCTCTGGAAATCGCCATACACAAGCTAACAGTATGTGCCCTTTGGAGGAGGCAAATAGCCCCCTG